GGAATACCTTACAGCTTTAACTGGCGACTACCAAGGCCATTTTACTGCCACTTGGGAAATATGGGATCAGTCTCATTTTGGAAATACCTCCCCATTTACCCCTGACATATCATAAATCACTAATCCGTTCTACACATATCCCCTCTGCAGGGCTGTGTTATCCTATGTTGTTAACCCCTTCACGCCTAAGGGTAAAACAAATCTAAATGCCTAAGCACAATTTTGCAACGTTGAACTGTTAGTAAAACCGAACATATCTTCACAACTACATCCAGGTGAATTATACCGCGTTTTGTTCAGGACACATTGGGCTTTCATTTGGTGGTAAATGGTAATGGATATCTCCTGATTTTTTTTTTTTTTATTATCAAAGGAAAACTGGCCCAAAATAGTAAAAAAAAAAAAAATCTTTTTTTTTAATTTAGCTGTGTGTTTCTTGTTACTACCATAGCCTACCACCAAAGAACAACCCAAAATAAATTTTCCAGCTCTTGACGATCGCAGCGATACCATAAATGTGTATGTTATTTGTTGTTTGTACCCGTAGTACAGCCCAGGAACAATAGTGCGCATTTTATTTTTTGTTTACCTAAAACACACTGACACTAACTGACACTAATACCAATTGACCCAAACACTTACCCTGGCACTGAACTAGATAAAATCTTGGTCTAAGTATTTTTTTATTTATTTGTTATTTTATTTTTTAATATTTAGTTTTTTTTTTTTTTTTTTTTTTTTAACAAACATTTTTTTCACCCCTCTATGCCAGGAGTTAGAGAGATACAATGTATCTCTCTCCCCTGCATTCATAGAGAGAAAAAAAACCCAAAAAAAACAAGAAGGCCGGGCTATACAGTGACTGATCGCTGTGATAGCCAATCAGAGGCTATCACAGCGATCATGTGACCCGGAATCAGGAGTCCTGGGTCGCGATCGTTAGAACGGGACCTGGGGCTCTCAGTGACACTGCGGTCTTTGTACTGGGAGCGCGCAGTGCGTCGTGCTCCCAGCAGAAAGACAGGTACGCAAATATGCAGCTCCACGGAAAAAAGTCCAGTTCTGTGAGGCTGCATATTTGTGTTATGTCAAGGGGTTGGCGTCGGCGTCAAGGGGTTAATATACACAGTCTTATCATGCTGTCTGTCAATTTTCTATTGTTTTATAAGTTGTCTATGTTACATACAACATCCATACCCATGTTGTTGTCGTTTATCTGTACCATTATAATTGTCATTTTCCATTAACAAAATTTTACAATAATTAAAAAAGGCCCTGACCCTTTCCAAAAAAACGCACCCAGTGAAAACGTGGAGATCTGACCCTGTCCCATAGGAAATCATGTTAAATGAACCGTACTGCGTTTCTGCAAAACGCTTAGGTGTGAAGCTAGTCTATAAATGGGTGAACCTATCCTTTACATAAAAATGAAAAAAGTTTTTAAAACCGCTTCCCGACCGCCCTATAGCAGAACTACTATATATATATATATATATATATATATATATATATATATATATGTGTGTGATTTTGTATTTCTGGGTAGGGGGAGCATGCGTCCTACCTGTACCCCCATTGGTGGCTACAGCTGTTGATCACCCGGATCTTGGCCGGAGATTCCCTGCAGCCACCCAACGATCGCTGAAGAACTGTGACAGGGGAGATGTCTGTATGCAGGGGCGGACTGACCATTTGGAAACTCGGGCACTGCCTGAGAGCCCGGGGTCAGTAGGGGGCCCCATGAGATGTCCCTGGTACCTTTTTCATAGGCTTTTTTGAGTTTGGGCAAGGACACAGGTGCCCCATGATCCCCTATTGTCCGGGGGCCCCATGAGTTTTCAGTCCGCCCCTGTCTGTATGTAATCAGTACAGATCTCTTCCCTGTCAGTACCAGCACGCTGCTTTGTGTGGCTCTGCAAAGATCAATAGAAAGCAGCATGCTTACATAGTAAAACACAGCACTCAGTTAACCCTTTGCTCACCCCAGATGTTAACCCCTTCCTGCCCAGTGCCATTAGTACAGTGTCAGTGCTTTTTATTAGCACTGATCACTGTATTGTAGTCACTGGGGATGTTAGTGACACCAAGTCAGTATCCCCCCCAGTGTCAGAGTGCCCGCTGCAGTCCCTGATAAATCGCTGATCGCTGTCATTACTAGTATAAAAAAAAAAAATTCCAGTATATATACCGCCATTTTTAAATGCTATAACTTTCACGTAAACCAATTACTTTACACGTATTGGGATTTTTCTTTAGCAAAGACATGGAGCAGAATACATTTTGACCTATATTTATGACGAAATTTAATTTTTTTTTTTTTTTTTACGGAATGTTTTATAGCAAAAAGTCAAAAATATTTTTTTTTTTTCAAAACGTCTGTCTTTTTTTGTTTATAGCGCGCAAAAAAAAAAAAAAAACGCACAGGCAATCAAATACCACTGAAAGAAAGCAAAATTTGTGGCAAAAAAAGGCCGTACATTTTTGCCGAAATTTGATTTGACATTTTTTACTGAAAATGTTTATTAGCAAAAAGTCAAATATGTTGTTTTTTCTTTCAAAATCATCTGTCTTTTTTTGGTTATAGCGCAAAAAATAAAAAATGCAGAGGTGATCAAATACCACCAAAAGAAAGCTCCATTTGTGGGGAAAAGAGGACGTAAATTTCATTTGGGTGCAGAGTTGCATGACTGCGCAATTGTCAGAGTAATGCAGTGCCATATTGCAAAGAATGGCCTGGTCAGGAAGGGGGGTAAATCCTCTGAAGGGTAAAAAAATAAAATTACACCCAAGCACATAAAAATCAGCCCCCAAAAATGTTTGAGACCCCCACATTTCATTTCATGTACTTCTATAGCGCTGCCAATCTACGCAGTGCTTTACATATATATATATGCTTGTATGAATGTAAAAGTACACGTTGGGGGTGCCTACACATGAAAACATTGATTGTAATACACATGTTACATATTGCCGCGCATGCCGGAGTGAGAGAAATAATTCTAGCACCAGAACACCTCTGTAATGCCAAACTCATGATCTACACTGGGCTGGCAAATTAACCCCTTGACACCGACCGTACGCAAATATGCGGCCTCACGGCGGCTGGGCCTTGACGCCGAGCGGCCGCATATTTGCATACCATTTAAAAACACATATGTGCTGAGAGCGCTCCCTGCACGCTCCCAGCACATATGACGGTATCTCACAGAAAGGTCCTGATCTCCCCTTGCGATCGGGACCTTTTCTGATCATGTGACCGCCGTGACAGCAAATCACTGCAGTCACTTGACCCTAAAACCTGGCGTCTGAAACCCCTTAAGGGTACGGGAGGTGCTGGCATGAAGAGGTTAAAGGATAAAATGGAACTAAAGTCTGCAATACTTCTCCAACAGTCCAGTGCCCACAAACTCCCTCAATGGTGCTGGCATCTTTTCATCACCTTCTTCCCATCTTGATTGGCCAACGCATGTGCAGTAGTTCAGTCATCCTGACATACAGGCAATGTGCCAGAATGGAAATCGAGCTGCGCATGCACAGCTCAGTGTACATTCTACAGAAGTCGGTCAGCAGGCAGCTCTTTATTGCAGAAGAGACATACCATGCCTGGCTAGTTGTTTTATCTGCCTGCTTGCAGTTTTCTATTCTTACATAGTTAGTCTGGCTGAAATAAGATAAAAGTCCATCCAGTTCAACTATTAAAAATGTATAATCCTATACCCACAGTTGATCCAGAGGAAGGCAAAAAACCAGCAAAGCATGATCCAATTTGCTCCTGCAGGGAAAACAATTCCTTCCTGACCCCCCTGAGAGTCAATCAGATATTCCCTGGATCAGCTTTACCTATAAATGTTAGTATCCAGTTATATTCTGTGTATCTAGGAAGGAATCCAGGCTTTTTTTAACGCAATCCACTGAGCTGGCCAGAACCAACTCTTGAGGGAGTCTATTCCACATTTTCACAGCTCTCACTGTGAAGAAACCTTTTTGTGTTTGGAGATTACATTTCTTTTCCTCCAGACGTAAAGAGTGCCCCCTTGTCCTCAAATTTTAAATGTACACTGAGTTGCGCATGCACAGGATGATGTCATCTCCTGCCAGCCAATCGAAAGTTCAAAAACCTGGCACCTGGGAAGATGACAGCTGCTGGCGAAGGATGTAACTGCCACATCGCTGGAAGGTGGAGTTGCGGATATTCGCATTATTTTCACCTAAAGGCTAGTTTGGTCCACTGAGGAAGAAACCAGCATTATACAAAGTCCTATAAGAAATGCCTAAAAAGAAATGGATTTATCTATTTTACTGAAAATGTAGCTGGGAAGCTACAGAGTGATGGAGAGAATAGAAGCAACTGAGCACATCTTGGACAGCCTTTCCCTAAGCTCCCACAGGCAGAGCATTCTGCTGTCTATCTAAAGAGCTGTGGGCAGAACCAGGTATTCCTATTCACTGATAGAGCCAAAGTCACCACAATCTAGGCAACTACAGCAGCAGCAAGGGTGACAACGCTGCATTACTTATACTGCAGTAGGAAGAGCGTTGTCACCCTTTGAAGTAATGGTTCTACTGGCAGGATCGTCTGGTATTTACAAAATGTTCCAAAGGAGATTAGGCTTAGTTCACACTTGCAGTTGGGGGGCAGTAGGAATAGGTGGTAGAGCCACATCCCCCCCCCCCCCGACCACCTTCCTCTGTAAACTGCAAAGGAAGCTGGACAGAAGTGAACACATGCTGCAGCCATGATGCTTTGCTTCACAATATTAATTTTTTATAATTTTTCTTGTTGCTAGGCATTACCATTGAAGTCTATAGAACCAAAAATGCAACGTTTTGCGTTAAAAAAAGTCCCTGACCATTTCCAAAAATTGCACCGGGTGAAAACGCACAGATGTGAACCTGTCCCATAGGTAATCATGTTAAATGGACTGTACTGTGTTTCCGCAAAATGCTGCAGAAAACGCATAGGTATGAACCTAGGGTTAACGTGTTACTAAACTCCGGTCCCTGCATTCACTATATCCGCTCTCCCCAGACCCTGCATTCACTATATCTGGTCTCCCCGGACCCTGCATTCACTATATATCTGGTCTCCCTGGACCCTGCATTCACTATATCTGGTCTCCCCGGACCCTGCATTCACTATATCTGGTCTCCCCGGACCCTGCACTCACTATATCTGGTCTCCCCGGACCCTGCATTCACTATATCTGGTCTCCCCGGACCCTGCACTCACTATATCTGGTCTCCCCGGACCCTGCATTCACTATATCTGGTCTCCCCCGGTCCCTGCATTCACTATATCCGCTCTCCCCAGACCCTGCTTTCACTATATCCGGTCTCCCCGGACCCTGCATTCACTATATCTGGTTTCCCCGGACTCTGCACTCACTATATCTGGTCTCCCCGGACCCTGCATTCACTATATCTGGTCTCCCCGGACCCTGCATTCACTATATCTGCTCTCCCCGGACCCTGCATTCACTATATCTGGTCTCCCCGGACCCTGCATTCACTATATCCCGTCTCCCGGACCCTGCATTCACTATATCTGGTCTCCCACAGAAATGCAAATCCTGTACAGTATATATACACGAGATTTTGCTCAGCTCTGCCGTCCTGTAGCAGTAGTTCTGCTATAGGGCGGTCAGGAAGTGGTTAATGACATTTTCCAATGTAGGATACGATGAGAATTAGTGATCCAGGATTTAGAACTCAGGTGAGGCTTAGAACTCTTGCCTTGCTTCCCAGTTCAAGTCCCACTAGGGACACCCAACTACACAGAGGGTTCATGTAGTCCTCACCACACACATTACAATCTGATTGTACAATCTACTTTAGATCCATCAACAACTATGTAGTGCAAGAACCTGCCTGATTGGATAACAATTGATTGGGTAGATCCTTGTAATACAATTTGCTGATACAATCTCCTTACAATCAATTTTAGATTTACCAAAACTACGTAATATGTACGGTGACCCTTAGACTTTATTGTCCTCTGAAAAGCGATCTGAGGCAGATCAGATGGTTTACAGGCAATACAGACATTTCTACATGTCCGTTTTTCAATCCCCAGTAGGCTGTATCACAATGCTAACAAGAACCATGCTGACAGGAGGAGAGAGCAGAGTGACAGATGAGCTTATCAGTCTGCTGCTCCTCCATTCACTCCCTGGTCACAGGGGGAAGGGAGGGACAAGGCCCATAGGTGTTACTTAAAGTGGAACTTTGCTCCCATTTTCTACTTTACACTCCATTCACACTCTTTGCACCCCAATGCACCCTGCCAAAATGCGTCACAACAAAGTACCATGTATTTTGGAACAGTGTGATTTTAAAAGGGTCATGGACTTCTTTGGTGAGATTTAGATGCAGTAGGAAAGGCCAATTTTTTTTAGGGGGAAATACCTTTTTCTGGGGAGTGCAGCCTGGGCAAGGATGACATTCTTCCCCCAACCTCCCACCCCAAGTCTCCGCATCATGTATCACAGGGACCAGGATGGGGTGGGCAGGAGGGGCGGCTGCCCTGGGCACCGTGGTATCATGTGAGGTGGGGTGGGGGGCAACACAATCAGATTCAAGAGAGGGGAGTTTGGGGGGCAGCAGGGGGTAAGAATTGTTCTAGGAGGGGAAATTTAGGGAGATGTGCTAAGAATGGTGATTTGGGGGGGGGATTTGTGTTAGCTGGGGGGATGGAGTAAGAGGATCTGTGCTAGAAACGGAGATTTGGGGGGTTGTGCTATAAACATAATATGGTGGGAGGGAGAAGATTTGTGCTAGTAGCGATGATTGGGGGGTATTTGTGCAAGGACTGGGGGAAATTTGTGGGGGGGGGGGACTTGTGCTAGGATAGGGGATTGGGGGAGGGGAATTTGTGCTGAAAGGGGAGGAGGTGGGAGATTTAGAGTAGGAGGTGAGGATTTGTGCTTGGAAGGGAAGTTTGAGGGGTAGAGGATTTATGCTAAAAGGAAGAATTTTTTTGGGGGGGCTGGGGCATATAGGGAGAGAGAGGATTTGAGCTGGGGAGGGGATGGGGGGCAACGATTTGTGGTGGGAGGGGGAGGAAGATTTGTTTTAAAGGCATGCAGATTAATGCTTGATTTTTTTTTTTGTGGGGGGAGGGGATTTTTGCTGACATGTAATGCTCACACATCTTGAAGGGGGGGTGCAATTTGGCATGTTCGCCACGGGTGCTAGATGACCTCGTCCCGGCACTGATATAGAGGCTATGTAGAACATTGTAGGATTGCTAGGACCCAAAAGAGACAGCTCATTTCCAATCACATCAGCTAACTGCACAGACAGGGGCGGACTGACAACTCATGGGGCCCCTGGGCAATAGGGGATCGTGGGGCCCCTGCGTCCTTGCCCACACTCAAAAAAAGGGGCATTTCATGGGGCCCCCTACTAACCCCGGGCCCTCGGGCAGTGCCTGAGTGCTCGAATGGTCAGTCCGCCCGTGTACACAGATGAACTATATATAAAGGGATCTTTTTACCTGCCAAAGGGTTTGTGTCCATGCAGTTCCAATATTTATTCAGCTCTGCCACACAGCTGTCTGGCATAGCAGAAGACTTGTTTTTTTTTCTGCTGCAGTTTAACGGAACTGTGCTTTCTTTTACCTGGTTTGCTGGGTTATCTTCAAATTACATACTTGCAATATTCAAATTACATGCTCTTTGCTGACATCACCAGGAACCAGCTGTCTCTTTAGGACCTATTAACGCGCCTCCGTGCATGCGCAGTGTGCTCTACATAGTCCTGAAGTCCCTGTGGTACTTAACGTGGAAGGCTTCGGGTGGGGAAAGATATGTAGAACGTTCATCAGATTACAGCAGGAGCCAGCTTTTTCTTCTGTGTTCTCGCAGCTTGCCCCATGATGACGTGCCTCCGCGCATGCGCAGTGTGTTGTACATAGTCCTGAAGTCCCTGTGAATCGAGACCTGGGAGTCTTCAAGTGGGGAATATGACAGGGATGTACCATCGCCAGATTACAGCAGGAGCCTTCTTTTTCTTCTGTGTTCTCGCAGCTTGCCCCCTGATGACATGCCTTCACACATGCGCAGTGTATTGTACATAGTCCTTAAGTCCCTGTGATTCGAGACGGGGAAGGTTTAAGGTGGGGAATATGATAGGGTTGTACCTTCACCAGATTACAGCAGGAGCCAGCTTTTTCTTCTGGGTTCTCGCAGCTTGCCCCATGATGATGTCCCACTGCGCATGCGCAGTGTGTTGTACATAGTCCTTAAGTCCCTGTGATTCGAGACATGGAAGGCTTCAGGTGGGGAATATGATAGGGTTGTACCTTCACCAGATTACAGCAGGAGCCAGCTCTTTCTTCTGGGTTCTCCCAATTGGCCCCCTGATAACCTGCCTCTGCGCATGCGCAGTGTGTTCGACATAGTCCTGAAGTCCCTGTGAATTGAGATGTGGGAGGCTTGAGGTGGGAAGGATGATAGGATTGTACCTTCACCAGATTACAGCAGGAGCCAGCTTTTCTTCTGTGTTCTCGCAGCTTGCCCCATGATGACGTACCTCTGCGCATGCGCAGTGTGTTGTACATAGCCCCTATGATCCATAACGTGGGAGGCTTCAGGTAGGAAGCATGGTGATGTGGTACCTTTGCCAGATTATGGTGATCAGGATCATGCTGGATTTGCTGAACATACAAGTATAAAATTTGAAAATAACCAAGCAAACCAGGTATAAAGGAAAGAAATAAAATATAACACAGGGAGAGAAGTTCCTCTTTAACTGCAGCAGACAAAAAGCAGATCTGTGTGGCAGAGCTGTATAAATCTCAGGACTGGATGGACACAAACACATATCCTAAAAACAGATCCCTTGTCATTTTTTTCATCTACAGAGATAGCAGTTTGCCTGGAGATCAGCTTTATAAAGTATTAGAAAAAAAAACTCTTGTAAAAGAAAATCACACAAAACTTACCGTGCAACCTCTGACGCTTACTCTGTACTTCCGATCTCTTTTTTTTTTTTTGTTCACGTCTAGCTCAAAGCAGCATGAAGAAGAGTACCGGTCTGTTGAATAAACAAAAAAAAATAATAAAGATGAAAGTCCTCATTCAGACAAAAGTAGTTTTGGAACTGCGATTTTCAGTGAGGGACGCAAGGAAGGGCTGGGCAGGCTGGGGGTTGTAGTTCGTCAACTGATGGAGAGCTACAGGTCAGAGCGGAGAGGCTGTAAGATGAGAAGTAGGAGTAGACCAGCATTGTAGGCATCACACAAAGGATGAAGGGAGTGGAGGGGGAGACTACCTCCAATGGACACCATGGGCTAGGGGAACTCTGGAAAACTTGGCCAGCCATCACCAGCCACCAGATCTAAGCCAAGCCAAACCCCAACCATGCCCAGCACACTGACCTGACCACCCCGGGCTCCGCGAGCAGCACAGCCAGCCAAGGAAAGTGGGCTATTATTGTGGCTGGGAGAGGATGGAGGAGGAGGGGGCAGATGAGGATAGGAGGGGCTGTCCTGCGAAACTCGCCCAGGGGGGGAGAGACTCAACTCACTGATTGAAGGAGCTGTGGGGCTCTTCCATGGGGGGAGTAAGGGAACAATTGTATAGAGGCTGGAGAGGACAATGCACCATCAGGGAGGCTGGGGGGGACTGAGGTCTTTATCAGCTTCTACATCAATGATGGGTCCTTCTAGGTGGCGGATCCACAAGTCTGAATAAACAGGGGCAGAGCAGCAGTGGAACCACAGTGGGTGAGCTTTGATCTGCTGCACAGAAGCAGTAGCACTATAATTCCCAGCATGCTTAGATATAGAAGCCAATGGGTGAGCTCTGATCTGCTGCACAGAAGTGGTGGAACCACAAATCCCAGCATGCTTATAAAAGGAGGGCAGTGGGTGTGATCTGGTCTGCTGTGCAGAAGCAGCAGCACTATAATTCCCAGCATGCTTAGATAAGGAAAGCAATGGGTGAGCTCTGGTCTGCCGCACAGACCACATATCCCAGCATGCTTATACAGAAAGGGAACTGATGAGTTCTGGTCTGTGGTACAGAAGAAGCGGTACCAAAGTCCCAGCATACTTATACAGGAAGGGAGTAGATGAGTTCTAGTCTGTGGTACAGAAGTAGTGGTACCAAAGTCCCAGCATATCTAGATAAGGAAGGCAGTGGGTGAGATCTGATCTGCTCAGAAGCAGTAGAACCAAAAGTCCCAGCATACTTAATGATGAAGTCCGTGGGTGAGATCTGGTTTGTGATACAAATAAGCAGAAGCATAAGTCCAAGAATACTTATAAAAGGAAGGCAGTGGGTGAGTTCTGATCTGCTGCATGGACAAAGTGGAACCACAAATCCCAGCATGCTTATATAAGGAAGGCAGTGGCTGAGCTATAATCTGCTGCACAGAAGCCGTAGAACTATAATTCCCAGCATGCTTAGATAAGGAAGGCAATGAGTGAGCTCTGATCTGCTGCACAGAAGCTGTAGAACCACAAATCCCAGCATACTTATACAGGAAGGGAGCAGACAAATTCTGGTCTGTGGTACAAAAGAAGTGGTACCATAAACCCCAGAATACTTAGATAAGGAAGGCATTGGGTGAGATCTGGTCTGTTGCAGAGAAGCAGTGGAACCAAAAGTCCCAGAA